TCAAAAACGTGTTAATGGAGCCTATGGAAATGAGATGTCCAGTATATTTATGTCGATGGCTTCAACACAAACGGTTGTTGTCTGCTTGGTCCTAGAGCTCAACCAGTGTCAGTTTAACATAGCGTAATATTGTTTTTGGACTGTAAAAAGGGCAGGGGTCAAAACTTGACTTTGGAAAAAGTGGGGGGGACATGTCCCCCCTGTCCCTCCCCCAAAATTACGTCCATGGGTTAAAGCATCACCCTTTCATCTTGAGCTGACGCCGGTGCCACTGCCAGGGTCTGCTCACCTCACATGGACTCACACGGGCCGAATCAACAATGAGAGTAAACGACAACCATGTTGGTCTTTAGATTTGAAACAGTTTACCGATAAAGGGCTGAAACATTCGGACAAGTATAGCTAAAGCTAGTAACTCGCACCACTGGTCTGTCCCCAACACAGCTGGCCATTACAGGTCAGGACTCGGGTTCTCACGGACGTTTTTTGTCCCCAGTGCAGAATCAGAAAATCCACTCTGGTTCCGGTGGAGGTTCAAGGCAGGTCACAATCTCACTGCAGCAGGAAACCAGCCGCTCTGTGCCGCAGCTAGGAGAGAGCAGGAAAGAGAGGAAGCGCCTCTCAAGATAAACCATGAGGCGCTTCACAAGAACAATGAAAATCAAAGTTAAATAAAAAATGTGAGGAAAGAGGGGAATCTGTGGGTCCCGGGAAACGTGGAGTTGGGAGAAATGTTGAATAAGGAGAGTGTGACAGCTGAACAGGTGAGTCTTCAGCTGCTTTTTAAAGGAGACCGCTGAGTCCACTGATCTCAGGCTCGGGGGGGAGAGAGGTCCAGAGTCTGGGGCCACAGCAGCAGATGATAGAGGAGGAAGTGGGCGTTGGTGACCACCTTCCAGGGGAGGCGGGTTCCAGATCAGAGACTCGCTTCAGGGGGAGGAGCAGGGCCTGATGACTCACACAGGATCTGAGATGGACAAAGGAAATCATCCAACTGCTGGGTTTTGCTCCTCCGAGGCACCTGGAGAATCCTCAGATGTTCAGAGCGGATCTGGAGGATCCAGGTTTAGGTGGAGCTGTTTGGATCCCTGAGGTTCTGGTGCTGCTGTGGTTTAAAGCTCACAGAGGCCAGAGGGTGTTAAACTGTGAAGGTCAAACTCCTCACCTGAGTCAGCCCAGGTGTTGGTTTGTTTTCCAAGGGGAATGTCGGTCCTGACGGGTTCTGGTTTCTACCTGGTTCTACGGGTTCTAGGTGTGGCATTCACTGATCTGGGAATGTCAGAAGGCTTCTAAAAGCAGGTGTTGATGAGTGTGATGTTGTCCTGTAACCTGGAGGCTCTGGCTCTGACTGAAGGATTAACAGCTGCTGGTGATTGAAAACCTCCTGGGTCTGATCTCCGAGCTGTTCCCGCTGCTGCGGTCGGGGAGAACAGAATTTGGGAAAGCCTGAAACAGAACCAGGCAGGAGCTGAACTGGAAAGTAGGGCATCGCCTGGCATGAAGGCATGCATCACCTCCTCCCTCTGCTCCCTCCACACTCACTCTCCTCTCTCGCTTTCCCTTCATCCTTCGATCGGTGAAACATCTCCAGTTTTCCTCCCGCTTCCCTCAGAAATCCAACACCTTTATTACGGCTTTTACACCTAAATGCCCTGGAGGTGTTGCTAGCTTAGCGGGCTTTACGAATCACTATAGCGCTCCGCTCGCCTCCTTACTGCTAGAGACCGGGGGGGTAGGGTTATTGTTAATAATAAGCACCCGCTTCCTCACACTCCTTTTCAAACAGAATATGATCATTACATTTTTCATTCAGTATTATAGTTTTAATAATTATGTAAATAGTATTGTTGTTGTTATTAATGCTGTTATTATTGTTATTAATGTTATTATTTTTGGAGTTTTAAATATTATAGTTTCTATTGTAATTTAAATATAATTATTATTAATATTATTGTATTTTTGCAGTTATTAATATTATTATTATAGGTAATAATATTATAGTTTTTATTATGATTTAAATATTATTGTTATTAATGTAATTATTTGTTGTAGTTTTGATATTATAGTTTTTATTATTAATGGTGACTGGGGCTTTTGGAGGACGGTTGTATCAGCAGGTCATTATTGATGTTAACATTCAAACTGCTGCTGAAGGTTTTATTTAAAGAGCAAGTCACCCCCAAATCAACTTTATTTTTTCTGATAAACTATAAATAAATGCGTGTCTAATCGTGCTGCAGACACGTGTCGTCAGTAGTTTTGCACTTTAGTGCATTTTAGTTCAAATTTAAATTTTCTTCCTAAAACTGTCAGTGTTGTGCCGTTGTCAGGTAAAAACTCTGCTCTGCGTTTGAATTTAAATCTGCCATCGCTATTGGCTAAGAGGTACCCTAGAATGTTAGCTGGTACCATATGATGTCAGAATGTCGCGCGCGTGTGTGTGCGCGCGTGTGCGTGTGTGTGTGTGTATTTGTTAGCGGCTCCGCCCTCTCGGTCTGCTAGGCAACAGCTTTTGTTGCATTTTTCAAACAGGAAGTGGGAGTGGAGTAATAGTCTGGTTGGGGGTGACTTGCTCTTTAACGGAATCGGATGAAATCACGAAGTCATGTGACGTGGTCAGG